TATATATATATATATATATATATATATATATATATATGTATGTATTTATCATGTGTCTTTTACCCCAGGCATGTGATCCTACAAAAGATCTAGTCCGTCACGTGCCCAAGACTCATTTAATGTCCGAGACCGAATGGAGAAACCTGGGAGTTCAACAAAGTCCAGGTTGGGTTCACTATATGATGCACAATCCTGAACCCCATGTCCTACTTTTCAGAAGACCCAAACCCGATGAGAATAATGCCGGTGAAGTTTTGCTGGCATATTAAATATTATGAATAATGTGATGAGACAAGTGATTGTACTAAGAATTTTTTTAGTATGTGGGAAGGAGGTTCTAAGCAATGTTAATATATATAAATAGATATTTATTTTGATGTGTAGATTTTGTATTTAAAGATGTGATTAAAGTATTTTGATTTATTATGTTAGTTTTTCTATAATGATAAAAAAAATACTCAATGAAAGGAAAAATTCAAAACAAGGATTAGGATGAATAAAAAAACGAAATTACAGCTGTGCAGTGAATACAATGAATGAGAAATAACAACAACAAATAAATAACAATAATAATAAATAATAATAATAATAATAAATGAACAACATATGAATGAGAAATTAAACAATGAGTAAGAACAATAATACAATAAATATACAATTTGAAAATTATATTAAGAATAAAAATTATACAATGAATAATAAAATATACAATACAGAAATAAATAATGCATTAAAAATATACACTGCATAAATAAATATACACATTCATATTTCAATATAAAACAATATAAATAAACGTTAATTATTATTTAAAATTGATTATTTTCTCGGCCAATGTAAATACCACTTATTTCTCAAGTTCGATAATAAAGAAAGAAAGAAAGAAATTATGTTGAATTTTTATAAAATTTATATCAAACTGAGTTAAATACTGTTTCTTTATATATATTGAATAATATATTTGAAGATATATTCAAGGAAAAAATACAATAAATGATATAATTTGAGAAAATAAAACATATACAATAAATAAAAAAAAATCAATGAATAAAATTGCAAAAAATACAAGAAATAACAAAAAATATATACAATAAATAAAAATTATGTTTAAAAAAATATGAATAATTTAAAATATATATATATTTAACTACAAAACTAATATACTTTATTTTCGAAATAAACAGTTGAGATTTTATTTAAATTCTGAATTATTAATTATTAAATTTTTATTAATATTAAATTTACCAAAACATTTTTGTACATTTCTTATATTATTGTCTATACTTATTTCAAAAATTACTAAAATAAAATATCCAAAAATAAAAAGATGCAGTTTTTAGAATTCTTTTAGAGTATTAAATTATCTAAAATAAATTAATTTGCATTTAAAATAAAATTAAAAGCATAAGTAAATATCCATGAAATAATATATGTGAGTACATTTCTTCACATTTTTATTTATATTTTAAAAATTACTTAAAATATCTAAATGTAGTCTTTAAAATTTATAAAAATATTAAATTATCTTAAGGCAAAATGCCACTTACACCTGGTTTAAACAAAATAATCGTTATTTTGAAAAAAAATGTAGCGCAATAAAAAAAAACATATAATTTTGTAGAATTTAATATAAACTCATAATAAAAATTTTTTTTGGGTAAAATAATGGGCAAAAAATTAATAAAGTAAGTATTTGCATATAAAAAAATATTTTATATAAAATTTTAATATAATTAAACATTATATATATATATATATATATTTATATATACAAAAAATCAGTGTACAACAATGTTATCAGAAAAAGATTAAAGAGAGCTTATCAGCATCTTAATTAAACATGCTTTTGTATTTATCAAGATTTAATTATTATTAGTCCTATGTTAATATGTATATTCCCCAACATCCATTATGAAAATCTAATAAATTAAAAATGTCTTTTATTAGCTGACCATTATTAAAATAAAGTTGTCTTTGTTTGTTTAGGTAAGTCCACCATTGGACTCTTATCAGAGTAACACAACTCTACAAATATAATAAATTATAGGAATATTTCTATTAAATATACATAGTGGAATTAATTAACTATATTGTTAATATGTTGTGGACAAGATGATTATAAGTTTTAGTGTTAAATTAATATTAAAACAGTGCGGATGAAATTTGCAGATTTTGAGGTTAGGTTTGTACATCAGCTGTTAAGTGTCAAAAATTATTTTTATTTTGGGTTTAAAAGAATTTTGCCGTGACCTAGATAATAAATATATATTTAAAATTGTTTGTAGCACTCAAATAATACAGAAAAATGTTATTTTATATACATAACGGGTATTTTACTTAATACAGGAATTTTTGTATCTGGTATGAGATTTTTAATTTTTTTTTTCAGATTGTATGAAGTATTTAAGAAGTTTTGATGTCCAAACAAGATGAAATTTGCAGAACATTTGTCAGCACATATTACTCCAGAATGGAGGAAACAATATATAAATTACGAGGTAAGATAATTTGTACCTAGATAGATCTACGATGGAATTTAATTTGTACCTAGCTTTACTGACGTTGAAAAAAGTGGATTGTTATTGAAATCTAAATGCTGTCTGTAAGAGATCTAATAGTTTTTTATTTTTGTGCTTTATATTTTTGTATATCAATAGTCCTAAAAGCATTCTAAGAAATTTAATTAGTACCTAGCTTTACTTGACCGTTGAAAGAAGATGTATTAAATTACTATTTGTTATTGAAGCCTACGTGTATTCTAAATGCTGTCTTTAAGAGATCTAATAGTTTTCCATTTCTTTGCTTATTGACTTTATATTTTTGTACATCGATAGTCCTAAAGGCATTCTAAGAAATTTAATTAGTACCTAGCCTTACTGACTGCTGAAAGAACATGCATTCAATTACTATTTGTTATTGAAACCTTTGTGTATTCTAAATGCTGTCTTTAAGAGATCTAATAGTTTTTTTTATTTTTGTGCTTATTAACTTTATATTTTTGTACATCAATTGTCTTAAAAGGGATCCAAGGAATTTAATTAGTACCTAGCTTTACTGACCGTGTATTGAATTACTATTTGTTATTGAAACCTTCATGTATTCTAAATGTTGTCTTTAAGAGATCTAATAGTTTTTTATTTTTGTGCTTTATATTTTTTATGATAGTCTTAAAGGGATTTGGTGGAATTTAATTAGAACCTAGCTTTACTGACCATGTGAATTCGTATATTTATAGACAAAATATAAGAGCTTATAAATAGGACGATGTTTATATATGTTAATGAAGGACCTTATCTCATATCTCTATTCGTGTTTTGTTTCAGGAAATGAAAGCAATGTTATATACTGCTGTAGAGGAGGCTCCTGCAGCAGATTCCGTAGAACCAGAAGTGTTGGCTAGACATTTTGCACATTTCGATGAACAGTTTTTCCACTATTGTGATAATGAACTTAAGAAAATTAATACTTTTTACTCAGGTATATGATAATGATAATATATATATATATATATATATATATATATAAGAAATAAATTTATTTTATTATTTGCAGAAAAACTTGCCGAAGCCACCAGGAAATTTGCTGCTTTGCACACAGAGTTAAAAGCATCTTTAAGAGTGAGCTTTTTTCTATAATATTTATATATATATATATATATATATATATATATATATACATATGTCAATTACATTTTTTCCAGATGGGTAGCAATAAGAGCAAGCGAGAAACAGCAAAAAAGGCCCTCTTGCCATACCGCAAAGTCCAGGAATTAAAATTGGCTTTTAGTGAATTCTATTTATCTTTAATATTACTCCAGAATTATCAGAATTTAAATCATACGGGTTTCAGGAAAATACTCAAAAAACACGATAAGGTAATAAAAACATTAAATATAAAATTATGCAGCTTTTTGTATTCTAAGTGTTTTTATTTATTTTTTTTGTTTCAGCTTTTATCTGTCGAAATTGGTGCCAAATGGCGAAAGGAGCAAGTTGAGACCTCACATTTTTTTACAAATAAAGACATTGATAAACTTATTAATGAAACTGAAAGTGCTGTGACTAATGATTTAGAAGGTAATTAATTTATTTACTTAAATATTCAATATTAATTGTGACAAAAATCGAGAATGAAAATTTTTGCATAACTTTACGTTTCAAAGAGTTCTGAATATTTTGGCACACCTAAAGAAAAAATGGATGTGCGTGTGTGTGCGTGTGTGTATGTATGTGCGGATACGAATTTTTGTCGACAATTTCGGGAACACGAGTCAACCGATTTGAATAATTAAAAAAAAATCGATTTCTTTTAATAAGGACACGTGCTGATTAATTTTTGGCAAGGACAGGTCCAGCCGTTACGGAGATACGGAGCAAAGAGTGAAGAAATTAGAAATCGAGTTTTTGCGAAAACGGAGCGTCCGATTTGAATGATTCGAAAAACATTTTATTTGTATTTTTGGGAAGGCAGGTCTAGCGGTTTTGAAGTTTTAATAAAAAAGTGAAAAAATGCGGATAAAAATGATCATTAGACATATGCACATCAAACTATCAGATATTTTATAGAGATTTTAATAATGTGTACACATTTTGTGTCATTTTTTTGGGTTCCGTACCAAGATTTTTAATTGGTTCAAACAAATGTTCTCGACATTTTCGACAATATGCCCCGATATAAAAATTTGGAATAAAACGACTTTGAATTCGATCTTTTATTAATCTTTGGAAATGAATAGAAAATTCGGGACATTTTTTTGGTTTTTGTCAAATAACTCACAAATATCATATGAAAGCACCCCATTTCAGGTAGATAGGTAAAACTAGATAAAACTTACTACGATTTCATGCCAACAGTTATATACACCCCGATATAAAAATTTCGAATAAAACGACTTCGAATTCGATGTCATGTAGAATAAGCTCATTGCCAAATTTAATAGGCAAATATAAATTTATAATAAATAATTTATTTGAAATTATGCAAAATAATTATTGATTATTTTCGTTCCTCGAATGCTTAATCACAGTATGGGTAGTTTCAACAAATTGCTTTAAGCCACGATGCCATACACCACTAGATTTTGTTTTTGAGCATCGGATTTTAATTTTAATTCTGGCTAAAGTTCTAAAGCTCACTTATATACTTTAAATGAATAATTTTAACTTTACAATTCGGTTTATATAATTCTTATAAATATTAGACAATGCTATAGTATTCATAATAATCTATTTGAAAATATTCCTCGAACATTTCGTTACGGTACGGAAAGTTCCAGCAATTTGCCTTAAGCCACTAGGTTTTTTTTTTTTTTGTTATAGGTGGTGATCGCCAAAGGGCGATGAAAAGGCTGAGAGTACCTCCCTTAGGCGAACAACAAAGTCCCTGGACAACTTTTAAAGTCGGACTATTTTCCGGAAGCTTTATTGTCTTAGTATAACAGTCATACTCTCCGGTAAGTTAAAGGGCACAACTAGTGTGAAATTTTCAAAAAATCGAATTTTCAATTTTTCCATATTTCGATAGGTTATACCTTTAACCCTCCGTCGGTCGGCGTGGTCTAGCCAGACTTTTTTCGACTTCAATTAAAAAAAAAGAATACTTCTAGTAATCCTATCGACTTGAAATTTCTTGACTTTTCTTAAAATTTCATTAGCTGTCGATCAATGAAAAAATCAGGACGAAAAAATGCACAGAAGGATAATTATAAGGATATTAACTCTATTATACTTCGAACGGTCGGAAAGGTCTGTCTAGACCACCCATACATTTTGTATGAAATATAGGCTTTTTGATATATGTAAACCAGTATTTTGTCTTTTTTCTGGTATTTTCTATTTAAACTGCGTTGTATATATTCTTTGCTTTGTGTTGTAATATGTGTGTTAGTATTTTCATGACGAGAGTTCCTTGAAAACCTACCAAACTTATTGGTAATCGCAAACTCTGAAAATCGGATGAGTAATACACACATTATCAACAATTTTTCTACCCGTACTGCGTTCGAAATTTTTTTTTGGAAACCTATAGTGAAATTATATTTTCACTTTGACCGTTTTACAGCTCATTTCAAATGCGACGCACCTCATTTCGTTTTCATGTGAATTTCACATTTATTTCAAAAGAATAAATATTGTTTTTCATTGATATAAATCAGAAAAATTAACAAAAAAGCAACGATTTTTTTATATTTCTTGATTTTTTATATAATATAATATGTAATATTTTTATTATAAGCAAGTACAACACATGCAAAAGACGGTAAGAAAAAGAAAAAATCAAAACTTTAAATATTTACTACTAATAATCGTTAATATATAAGTCACCAAAAACTCATTTATCCCATATAAATGCATGTAAAATGAATGGTGGTCCAGCCAGACCTTTTCGACCGTTCGAAGGTGAAAAAATATCCGACCGACGGAGGGTTAAAAGTAACATACCAAAATTTTAAATCGATATCTTAAATAGTTTTTGAGTCACAGCCATTTAAATGGTGTATATATAGTATACAGTATAGCGCTCATTTTATATTTAAACGCATTTTTCTCGAAACAGCATTTTCCGAATTTGCTGCAGCGATTACACAAAAACAAATGATCCGATCACTATCGAATTATTTTTACATGTCATATATATAGTTCTCTGTAAAATGAACTATCGATTTTTTGATCGGATCAAAAATCGAATTTTGGCAGTCCAAAAACGACCAAAATTTTGGGTAAAATTTGACTTTTTTAAAAAAATACCGTCATTTTGTCAATTTTTTATTAACTTCCCGTAGGGTAAGTTATTGTAATGGGCCGAAAATCGGAATTGAAAATTTTTACATTTCTCGACGTTTTGAAGGTTTCTGAACGTTTTGGCATACCTCAGAAAAAATGGATGTGTGTGTGTGTGTGTGTGTGTGTGTATGTATGTATGGATACAAATTTTCGTCCACGTTTTCGGGCGTACGGATCAACCGATTTGAATGGTTCAAAAAACATTCGATTCCTATTGATAGGGAAAAGAGCTGATTAGTTTTTGGCAAAGGCAGGTCCAGCCGTTTCGAAGATACGGAGCAAAGATTGCAGAAAATAGAAATCGAATTTTTGAGAGAACGGAGTATCCGATTTGAATGATCTAAAAAACATTCAATTAGTAATGATTGGGAGAAGTGGTTATTAGCTTTTGGCAAAGGCAGGCCCGGCCATTTCGAAGATACAGAGCTAAATGTGCAAAAAATGGCAGTTTTTGAGGGAACTAAGCGTCCGATTTAAATGATTCAAAGAACTTTCTGCTTGTCTTAACAAAATAATTGATTTTGGAAAAAAAAATTTGTTCCATTTTTTTTTTTTTTTTGTATATCGAAATATTTCAGATTTTATTTTTAATTCTGACTATAGTTCTAATATACTTTACAAATAATTTCAATTCTGCAATTCAGTTTATATAATTCTTATAAATATTAGACAATGTTACAATATTTATAATAATCTATTTGAAAACATTCAGTATTCCACGAACATTTCGTTACGGTACGGGAAGTTCCAGCAATTTGCCTTAAGGCACGATGCCATAATTGCCTCAAGACAGAATTCCACTTACAGCTAGTTTTTTTTCTTTATCGTAGTTCATCTTTTAGACAATATTATCTAAATTAACGAAAATTTTTTTTTTGAATTTCATCCACGTAGAGAAGGCCGGAATCACTGCAGCAGTGAAGGGTCTTTTTTTGTCGCGCCGTTGGAGATCGACTATAACTTAAAAAATATTAAATTTTTTGCTTCAAAAATTTTACTATGTATTCTTAAAACATGTATAAATACATTCCTAAAATTTTGTAATGATTGATAAAGTATTTTTTTAATATAAATTTCCAAAAATCACCTTTTTAGGCGGTTACACTAGTTGTGCCCTTTAAAGGACACATTTTAAATATCCTTTTACCAACTATTCTTTATCCCTTAGCAATTTTTCGAGACACAACAACCGAAAGTCTCCTGATAGCATTCAGACTCTACAGAGGTCCTCTTCTGATAATCGAGTTTATTTTTCTTCTCGGAGTCAACGTTTACGGTTGGCGTTCATCAGGAGTGAACCATGTCTTGATTTTCGAGCTGGACCCAAGAAATCATCTATCTGAGCAGCATTTGATAGAATTGGCAGCAATTTTTGGGGTCGTCTGGACCTTAAGTATACTTAGTTTTATTTATAGTGCCAGTCTGAGCATTCCTCCGTATGTCAACCCTTTGGCGTTGACTGCGATCATGGTCGTGTTCCTGGTGAACCCTTTCAAGGTCTTCAGACACGAGGCCAGGTTCTGGTTGTTAAAAATCTGTGTAAGTGGGTAAAAGATAGTTTTGGATGATACTTGCGTTTTATGGGGTTTTATACATTTTTTTTTTCAGGGCCGGATGATAGCAGCACCGTTTTTTGCAGTGGCGTTCGCTGATTTCTGGCTCGCCGATCAATTGAATTCCCTTGTGGGTTCCATGCTGGACTTTCATTTTTTAGCTTGTTTTTATATCACTAATGGAAATTGGCTTCAAGCAGCCGGAGGTAAGATAAAGATTTTATATATATATATATATATATATATATATATATACTAGCTGACCCGGCAAACGTTGTTTTGCCATGGAAAATATTTCAAGTATAAAATGTTTAGTACGAAAATAACTGATTGCGAATGTATTACGTAAGTGAAAGGAGCAGATGACAAAAATATATGAATAGTTTACCCACTGCAAAGCATGCCACATATAAATGTTCCTTATTAATCTGGAACTTTTTATTATATTTATACTAGCTGACCCGGCAAACATTGTTTTGCCATAAAAAATATTTTTAGTATAAAATATTTAATACGACTGGTTGCATATGTGACGCATAAATGAAAGGAACGGCTAACAAAAAATATATGAATGGTTTACCCACTGCAAAGCATGCCACATATAAATGTCCCTTAATAGTCTTTGCAAGGTGGCACATTTCTAATTCAAGATTTTGATATATTATTCCCGTGTTTTTTATTGAGTGAGATCGAAAAAAAGGAGAGAGTGAAAAATTGTACAGCTTTGCCATAAATTTGTATGGTAAACTAAAACTATTGTAGATTTAAATTTTAATATTTTAATGTTTTTTTATTAAAAATATACAGTTTGTGCGCATCGGGAAATGTTTGTTTAATGGGTAAATGGGAGAAAAAAATGAAAAAAATAGTTTTTCTAAATAAAAAGTGTTTATGTATTTTTCCATTTCGAGTTATAGAATTTTAAAATATAGTAAATAGGCTCAAAAGTGAAAAAAATTTAGGGATGGACAACATTTGATAAAAATAATTAGTATTTTAAAGTAAAAATAAATAAAATAAAAAAATAAATAAAATAAAGAAATGTGACTCCAAAATTTAAAAAGGCTGGACAACTCTTAATAAAAATAAATTGTTTTTTAACTTTTCGTAGGGCAAGTTATAGTAAGGGGCCGAAAATCGAAAATGAAAATTTTTGCATTTCTCGACGTTTTGAAGGATTCTGAACATTTTGGCATATCTTAGAAAAAATTGATGTGTTTTGTTAGTCCGTAATTTTTTGTCGACGATTTTGGGCGCACGGATCAACCGATTTGAATGGTTCAAAAAACATTCGATTCCTATTAATAATGAGATGTGCTGATTAGTTTTTGGCAAAGGCAGGTCCAGCCGTTACGGAGATACGCAGCAAAGAGTGCAGAAAATAGAAATTGAGTTTTTGAGAGAACGGAGCGTCCGATTTGAATAAATCAAAAAACATTTTATTTGTATCAATTTTTTGGGGTTCCGTACCAAGATTTTTAATTTTGATCTTCATTTATATGGTTCAAACGAATAACCTCGACATTTTCGATTCGTAGGATTAAAAAAATATTCGGTTTGTACTCGTTTTTGCGAAAGGCATGTCCAGCCGTTACGGAGAAATCGAGCGCAAAGAGTGTAAAAATGGTCAAAGTTTTTGAGAGAGCGGATCATCCGATTGGATTAATTCAAAAAACCTTCTGCTTGCGTAGACGGTGTGCAAAAAATGTTTTTATAAAATTTCATAATTTTGAAGATTTTCAAAAAACAAAATCAAAATTTTCGAAAAAAATCTAAATTTTGAAAAATTAAAAAAAATATCTAAATTTAAAAAAAAACAATTTCTGACCAAAATTTGAAAACTTTTCGCAACTTTCAAAAAAAAAATTGAATATTTTCAAAAACTAAAAGAAATCGATTTTTTTTTTTCAAAAAAATTTGAACGTTCAAAAAATCTTCAAAATTTATTTATTTTAATGAAAAAAATTGAGAAATTTGTTGAAATATGTAACAATAAAACCTGAAAGTTTCGTTTTAATTAAATATTTATTTCCTTCCCTAAAAATTCCTCAAAATCAGCGAATTTTCAAGCCTTTAAGCAGGCACCCCCCGTTAAGGCAGGATGTCATGCACCACTTTAACTTGTTTTTTTTTTCAGATACCTCACAATGTATGGAAAATTCCTTCATATCCAGGCCGATTGTGAATTGCATTCCAGCCTGGATCAGGTTTGCCCAGTGTCTTCGTCGGTATCGAGATTCCAGGGAAGCTTTTCCCCATTTGGTGAACGCTGGCAAATATTCGACGACTTTTCTGGTCGTCATTTTTGCCACTTTGAAGAACTTTTATGCAAGTAAGATAAAAGAAAATTATAAATTATTCTTGTTGGGAAATACATTTTTTTCATATTTTGTGTATTTTTGAAGTAAAACTTCTTTAGGCACGACTAGGGTGTAAATCCGTACAAATGCAACGGAAGTAGATAAGATAAGATAAGAGTCGAGAGCCAATGATTCGTCATTCGCTCTCGACGGTATCATTTTTATACGGGTCGATTATGATTAGTCGTCGTGTATGTGAATAGACATTAATAAAATTATACTGCTAATAGTAAAATTTTGCATTTGTTTTGTGCAAATATCTTGAAAATTTGTTCTAAGACTTATCAAACATCTTATATTTTTAAAAAGTACATAAAATTCCCTGCAAATCCACATTAATCAAATTATACAAAATTATATAAATTTGCTTAAAATTGCATCAAACATATAATTTATCATACGACGCTCAAACCGGACTTAAGAGGCATGATAATCGTGCGCACGTTTTTGGTTTTTTGCAAATATCTTGAAAATTAGTTTTAACACTTATCAAACATCTTATATTTTTAGAAAGTACATAAAATTCTCTGCAAATCTACATTAATGGAATTATACTTCATAATAGTAAAATTTTGCCTAAAATTATAACAAACTTATAATTTATTACTCGAAGGTCAAACAATACTTAATTGGTACGGTAATCTTGCGCACTTTTTTGGTTTTGTGCAAATATCTTGAAAATTTGTTCAAACACAAACGCAAACGAGATATGTCGTTGTATGCGTACCAATATCAACAAGGAAATCGGCATAGATAAATAAACATTTTAAAGTTACATCGTAGTACAAATCTTTATTTAATGAAAAATGCCTGATTCAGAAGAATATTTTACTTTATCCCTTGAAAATAATAAAACAAATTAAACATTTGTGCCGTGTACTAAACGTAAATTTATTGATTAGAAATTATTTCTATATTATTCGCAGTTTCTATAAATCTTTGAAGTTATTGAAATGTAAAATATTTTTTACGCAAGACAGATATTACAGCTGTTCAAAAAATGAGATTATATCGCCAGCAAAAAAGTAAAAAAAATTCAAGCAGTCAATGAATGTATGTTAATTTTAATTACATGAAGTTGTTAAAAAAATGCTATTTGGCGGTCAAAAATGATCATTAGACATATATACATGAAATTATCAGATATTTTATAGAGATTTTAACAATAAGTATAAATGTTGTTTACATTGTTATGTGTTCCGTACCAATGTTAATCCGTCAGACGGCGACGCGGCGCTTACGCGCTTCGATATTTTGTCTCTATGCAGTTAAAGCAGTTCAATTGGTTTGAAAAAAAGTTCAGAATTTGCAAAATATGTCAAAATAAAGAGCACATTTTTTTTTCAAAGAATAGTAATTTTTTGTCAAATTTATAGTTTCTCAAAAATCTCATTTTCTTAAGTAAAATTTTTGGTACGGGAAGTTCCAGCAATTTGCTTTAAGGCACGATGCCATGCGCTCCACTAGTTATAAATCTTGGATGTTATTAAAATGGAAAATATTTTTTACGCAAGATAGATATTACAGCTGTTCAAAGAATGAGATTATATTGCCAGCAAAAAAGTAGAAAAAATACAAGCAGTCAATGAATGAATGTTAATTTTAATTACATGAAGTTCTTCAAACACAATTATTACATGATGAGTGAAGTTGCAAAAACAATATTTGTTTAGGCGTTGTTTAACATATTTTAGTATTTATTAATCAGTAATTACTTTATTTCTCTAATGAAGGTTAATTTCTAAATGCTAATTACAATGACAAACCGATCATGTCGTATTTGAAGGATGACTTTAATTACATTATTGTTTATAAATATTATACATATTTTTAATGCTATTATAAATATATAATTTATAATTTATCGTTATATTAATGTGTATAAAGGTTGACGACACTGATAAATGTGTGCGTCACGAGTGTTATTATATTACTAATTAAAATTATTCAAAATTGTTATATGATGTATTTATTTTTACTTACTTCAATCGCGTGTGAACTTTACACGCACTCTTTTTTTAATATTTTGTGTATATTTTTATTTTTTAGGCAATTACGAAAGCAATTTTGAGAATCCCTATCTCTATCTGTGGCTTATAAGTTCGGTGGTGAGTTCATTGTACGCTTACACGTGGGATGTTAAAATGGATTGGGGGTTGTTCGATAGCAATGCTGGGGAAAATCAATTTTTAAGAGAAGAAATTGTATACTCATCAACGGTAATATAAATATTAAATATATATATATATATATATATAAATATTTTTAAAATTATTTTTTATTCCAGAGTTATTATTATTTTGCCGTCATAGAAGATTTTATTCTAAGATTTACGTGGCTGCCATCGTTTCTTTTAACCGAGTACAATTTTGTGAGCGGGGACATTCTTACATCTATACTGTCACCATTGGAAGTGTTTAGGTAAGTTTTTATTCAAATATCTCAAAAACTAGTGGTGTATGGCATCGTGCCTTAAGGCAAATCGCTGGAACTTCCCGTACCGTAACGGAATGTTCGAGGACTTAAAATAATCCATAAATGCTGTAAATAATTTCAAATAGATCATTTGTCATTTTTTTTTAAATTAGATTTTTTTTGATAATTTTGAAATTTTTGCAAAATTTTGAAGGTTTTTTGAAAGTTCGAATTTTTTTGAAAAAATGGATTTTTTTTGAGAATGATTTGAGAATGTTTGAATTAATTGCTGTAAATAATTTCAAATAGATCATTTGTTAATTTTTTTTAATTAGATTTTTTTAATAATTTTGAAATTTTTGCAAAATTTTGAAGATTTCTTAAAAGTTCGAAATTTTTGGAAAAAATTATTTTTTTAATTTTTTGAAAATTTTTGAAAATATTCTATTTTTTTTTGTAAGTTGCGAAAAGTTCTCAAATTTTTGTCAGAAATTCTTTTTTTTTCAATTAGTTTTTTTAATAATTTTGAAATTTTGGAAAATTTTTAAAAGTTCGAAATTTTTTAAAAGTTCGAGAATTTTTGAAAATATTTGATTTTTTTTTTTAAGTTGCGACAAGTTCTCAAGTTTCTGTAAGGAATTGTTTTTTTTTTTTAATTCTGATATTTTTTAAGATTTTTCAAAATTTAGATTTTTTTTTTTTTAAATTTTGAATTTTTTTGAAAATTTGATTTTTTTTTTTTTGAAATTCTTTAAAATGATGAATTTTTTGTAAAATCATTTTTTGCACACTGTCTACACAAGCAAAAGGTTTTTTGAATCAATCCAATCGGATGATCCGTTCTCTCAAAAACCAATGCTTCCGAAACGGTTAGACGTGCCTTTTCCAAAAACGAATACTTTTTTTAACATACGAATCGAAAATGTCGAAGTTATGCGTTTGAACCATATAAATGAACTTCAAAATTAAAAATCTTGGTACGGAACCCAAAAAAATTGATACAAAATGTGTACAAAATATTGTAATCTCTATAAAATATCTGATAATTTGATGTGCATATGTCTAACGATCATTTTTACCGCCCAATGGCATTTTTTTGAACTTTTTTAATTGAATCCCCGAAACTGCTAGATCTGCTTTCCCAAAAATTTCATCAGTTCTTCATTTTGTCAATACAAATAAAATGTTTTTAGAATCATTCAAATCGGACGCTCCGTTCTCTCAAAAACTCGATTTCTATTTTCTGCACTCTTTGCTCCGTATCTCCGTAACGGCTGGACCTACTTTTGCCGAAAAATAATCAGCACATCTCCCTATCAATAGGAATCGAATGTTTTTCGAATTATTCAAATCGGTTGATCCGTGTTTCCGCAATCGTCGACGAAAAATTCAAAGGACGTTTTGCGGAAGCTTGTTTTATTCAACTATAAAACAAATGGGTTGTAAATAGACGCTATGATGTATTTTAGTTCAAACAATATGTTTTTGGATTGTGTTTTTGAAGGTTCTTGATGCGCCCAAAAATTTTTATAATACGTCCATAATTTTAGGAGGTTTGTATGGAATTTCTTCCGTTTGGAAAACGAACATTTGAATAATTGTGGTAAATTCAGAGCCGTTCGTGATATTTCTGTGGCCCCCTTAGATTCATCGGATCAATTAACTATTTTAAGGATGATGGACGAGGATGATGGTGTTACAAATAGGTAACAATAATTGTAGAAAAATTTTAATTTCGATTTTCGGACGACTACAAGCGGAATTTAAATTTATTTATTATTTATCTCTATCTCCAGATATGGTAAAAACAAAAAACCAATCAGAAAAGTTAAAGATCCCGAAAAGAAGTCCCTTCTAAAGCACGACTCGATGCAGGATTTGGCTTTCCGTATCGAAATCGATAATAATAAGCAAGGCTGAGTAATTAATTAATTAAACAAAACTAAATAGAATTACCTATACATAATAGCTAATTAATTAAATAAAAGTGATACTTTAATCATGTAGGTTTACCACACCTCTCCCTTATATAGATAGCCATAGATTTATATTTTTATAAAAGTAATAATGTACTGCAATAATAATTTTTTAATACATTTTTTATATAATGCCTCTAACGAAGTTGCCTTAATGAAAAATATGCTTTTTAGATGAAAAAAAAAAAAAACAAATTAATGTTAATGGAGGACAAATGAATTTTGTACAGATAAATATTTCCTGGACGAAATTATTGTTCAAAAATGTTGATTAGATAAAAAGATATTCCTTTTTGATAGAAATTACCAGGGTAACAGATATTAATTAGTCAAATCTTTTTAAAATAAATTATCAATCCAATGCATTCCAATAGTTGTGTTTTCAGGGCTCAAATTCTTACTTTATATTTGTATTGGCATTTTATCTAGTATATTTTATATGTATAATTCTTTTTGTATTATTTTCATACCAAAGTTTTTACAAACGTCATGTCTGTTTTTATTATTAAGAACAAAAACACATCGGTTGCTTTTTGTAAGTTTGTTAATGTAATAAAATTAATGTTATCTAAATTTCATAGTTTATTATAGTGTATATTTATTTTTAATATTTGTCTATAGTTTTGTGTAAAATATATAGTTAATAAATATTTTTATTGTGTTTTACTGTTTACTTTTTACACATATATTCTAGCCAGATGTAGTTGTTAACTAGTTATTGATTCTTCAGGACGTAGTGTTTTTACCAGAATGAGTTATGTTAGATTTGAGTAAGTCTACTTTGATACCAAATACTTAAATTGATAAGTCCGGAATAAAAAATATTATTGATTAAATATTTAACTTAAAATTTTTAAAGATCTTTCTAAGATTATTTTTGCGTATCAATTTAAATTTTATAACTTGTGCACGATAAGACTGACCTAAGTAAAAATAAAATTGTTATCTTATTGAATGTGAATAAATAGAGAAAGTTAGTCTGTGTATTTAGAAATGTATTTTCATTCTTTAGATACCACTTCAAAACCAAAAATGTGTCCAAGAAATTATTTACTTATACAAAATTTATAGCAGTTTATTAATTTAAATGCAAATAATGCTTTAATAAAATATTTTTTCCTATGATACAAAATTTTATCATCCGATTCTAATTAGAATTTAAAGTACATCGAGTTGCTGTAGAGCGTTATAATATTAGACAAGAATAAAAACAATTTAATTATCACATATTCAAAGAGTATACACTGTATATATAGTGAAATCTACACTTTGCTTTTTACCGTATATGTTCAAAAAGGTGAATTTCACAAAGTTTAAATTTCAAATTTGAATTTCGCGCTTTAAGTTGTACAAGTGACGGCAGCCATTTTAACACATGTTCAATTGTCAAACAGATTTCCGTGAATTAACATGCTGTCGCGTTAATTAACGTTTTTTTAATTAAATCCTTGATTAGTTTTAATTAATTTATGCATCAAAACGTGTAATTAATTTAGTAGATCATTTTGATATAATAAATTTATCGTGAAACGTTAATTAAAATCCAAAAAGTGTATGTGTGTGGAAGTGCCTTGTATAGTTTGATAAGTATCTCTTTCAGGGCCTCCATTTTGAGTCAATTTTATAAGTAAGCATTTTATTTACAGCGACTTTCGTATCCTTTATTTTTATATATGCAATTGTAAAATGTATAATTTATATATGTGTTTTTGTAGGTTATTAATTCATTTACAGCGCCAATGTATCCTTTATTTATATATATGCAATTGTAAAATGTATAATTTATATTTGAGTACTTCCAACACATATCTCTTTATTATCGAATTCTAAATTCACGAAAGTCTCTAATGTAAGTCGTGTGTCGTGTATTGTGTAAAGACTTTACTCGGATAGTTGCAATAAGTCGAAGAGACATGTAACGAACAAAGTTATGTAGTGGTTCTAAAGTAGTGATTTTGTGTCGAGTACTTGAGATTTCTGGCAGATGCTCCAGAGGTGGTTCGAGTAATGAGTTAGTGTTCTGGGAGCCGCTGTAGAGGATTTCTAACAATGTAAGTGCAAAGCACGTTTTATACAAAGCGAGTCAAAGAATATATTTCTGATATATACAGGCATTTATCATGCTACATCTGATATGTAGTACTTTATTTTAAATATTTAATATTTAACTATATATATATATATATAATATATATATATATGTATATATATATATATATATATAATATATATATACCTCTCGCATTATATATATATATATATATATATATATATATATATATATATCTATATAAAGCGAGAGGTTTTTCTTCAGATGGTGAAATAATATGATAAAATTGTTCTTGGGTATCCATCCAGTAATTAATAACAGTTTTATTAAAAGAAAATGTTTTTATTTATTTAATTTATGAAATTGGTTAGATTTATGCGTTTTTACATGCTTTTTTATATTTTCCTGTAATTATGTATTTTTCATATTGTTTTAAATTGTAACCCTGAAATATTTAATTGTAGCACTGAAGATGGGTAAAATCAAGACCCGAAACATATGTTTTCATAATAAAAACATTTTTCTTCAATAAAACTGTTTCTAATTACTGGATGGATGCCCAAGAACAATTTTATCACATAAGAATTAAATATTATATTTGAAATAAAGTACTACATATGCGTAATATTTCATTAAGTTTTGAAACTATATTTTTGAATTTAAAGCAGTCAAATAATTTATTTTCTGAAAATGTTTACTTCATCACAATATTTCTTGTAATCTATAGTGAAACTATTTTTAATAGAAATAAATAAAAATATTACTCATAATTTATTTTCTGAAAGAGGTTTACAATTAATTCAAAGATGCTTTGAGAACTTGTGCCTTTCTTATCCGATATCATTTATGAAGCAGTCTGTATATATTTTAGTGAAATATTTTCTGGCTCGTGCATTATTAATATACTTGTATACATATATCTGCTGAAAATATTGTTTATATTATAATATTTGAGTCAATATCATTTTCTTTAATAAGATATACTTTATTAATTTTTAATGCATAAATTACAATATATTCTTTGTTTATTCAACTACAACTATTATGCTAATAAAAATTTTAAGAATTAATTAGGCAGACATATGTATAGAAGACTATGTTCATATTTAATTTGTTATGGGGAAAACATGTTGATTCATTTTTTTTTTAATTTATAAAAGTGCATTTTATACTTGTTGTAAATATATATAAAAGAAAAAAGTTTATATTTCTCTTGTGCATCAAAGTCATTGAAAGTAATTTATATTATTACAATTCCATAAATAGTCTATCAGAAATTCTTTTGTTCTATAACAACACTATGAGCTGATTTTGTGTAGAATTCAAAATTCGTATATATTAAATTTTTGTTACCAAATTATTAGTTAACCAATACAGTTTTTGTTTACATCGACTACTTATTTGTTGAAGGGGCCCTAGCATCCTTCCTTAGGTAACTCCTAAATTGATGGTACTTTATTACAAATTACAAATTTCCTTTGTTACAAAAATCTCTTTTTTTTGTGACTCCTCTTGTTCATTATTCTTCGGAAGCAATGTTTAAAATTACATTTCCAGTATCAAGAATCATGTGTTTTCCCTGTAGCGATATTGACTGCATGTACATTCTTATATATGGATAACTCGATTGTTGGTTTTGATCAAATTATTTCCAATATTCAATACAACTTACCAAATTGTTAATTAAATGCAGCTTTTAAAAGTCTTTGACTGTAGTTTTTTTTTAAATTTATTCAATTATATTGCTGCATGGCTAAATGATAGATTTTTATTCTTTTGTTGCTAAAAACAATTTTGATCAAGACTTGCAATCAAAGTTTCAACGAGTTGACTTGAATGATTAGACAAATCATAATTTTGTTTACAAGTTTATTATTCGATTCAAGTTGTGAAAATTATTTAACTCGATTTCTAAAGGATAACAAACAGCTTTAAACAGTTTTCAAGTTTTTAATGTTCAAGTTTTCGAACATTTTTCATTATTTCATTTTACATGTTTTTCATGGCTTTTTCTAATAATTTGTATATTATTCAAGTCAACTAAACTTGTTTTCGTCTCGATTAATTGTAAAGGTTTCACATGTTTTATCAAGTCGTATAAACAATTTTGATTCGATTAATATCATTTCATTTCATCGATTAATTAAATAATTCTCTCGAATGATTTTTTTTTTCTAAGTCCAAATTTTCTGATTATATTTCTCTCAAATAATTTTTTTTTTTTCTAAGTCCAAATTTTCTGAAACCTTTTCAATTAAGACAGACGAGTTATTTATGCATGCTGTATTATCCCAAAGCCAACATTCGAATGAATGAGGCTCACATTGAATATTTCACAACGAGAAAATTTTATTGGGGCAAAGTTAAATATTTTAACTAAGTCCCAGTAATTTTTTCTCGTTGTGAAAATTTCAACGTGGACCTCATTTCATTCGAGTGTTGGTTTTGGGAATTGGTGTGAGGGAACACTAAAAAACATAAAAAAGTTTCAACGCTGAACAGAAAAGAGAAAAATTGACCTGGGACTTAGGGGGGTTTTTTTAAGGCTCTCACCTCCCCCTTCTCCCTCCTCCTCCTCCTCTTTCCCCTTTTTTTCCCTTTTTCCGCTTTTTTTCACACTTTTTTTCCTTTTTTGGTGTTGTTTTTTTCGCATGTTGTGGTTTTTGTTGGGTAGATTTCTGGGC